GGCCCTTTGTGCTGTGGTGCGTTGTCTGAATGGTCGTAGTTTCAGGTAGACATACTTGCCTGGTGCAAAATTTTCCTCACGCCTTTTCCCATCTGCGAAGGCTTTGGTTCGATTTATTGAGCCTTCGAGATTTTTCTTCAGCTCTCGTAACATCAAATCTCGTTCCTATAGTTCTCGACCAACCTCATCGTTGTACTCCCCTCCGAATAATTGATCAGTGTTGGGGGTTTTCGCCCGTATACCAACTCAAATGGCGTCATCTTGGTCGACTCGTGGTAAGTGGTGTTGTACCAATACTCAGCCCAGGGCACAAATTTTTCCCACCGCTTTGGGAATTGATGGACGTAGCATCTCAAATACTGCTCAAGGGTTCAATTGGTTACCTCAGTTTGTCCGTCTGTTTGTGGGTGGTAGGCTGAGCTCATAGATAACTTAGTCCCTTGCAACTTGAAGAATTCAGACCAAAAGCTGCTCATAAAAATCCGGTCTCGATCAGAGACGATGGATCGAGGTGCTCCATGCAGTTTCATTACGTAATCCACAAATAACATGGCAATTGACTTCGCGGTGTAAGGATGGGTAATGGGTATGAAGTGAGCATACTTTGTGAGACGATCCACTACAACCATAACACCGTCAAATCCATTAGAATTCGGTAGCCCCTTGATGAAATCTATAGTAATGTCTTCCCAGATCGCCTTGGGTACCGGTAGAGGTTGCAACAGCCCGCTCGGTCGTCGTGAGTCAGACTTAGTGCGCTGGCAATCGTCGCATCGTGCTATGTAGTCTCGGACGGTACTCTGTTGTCCGGGCCAGAAGAAAGTGTTGGCTATTCTCATCCACGTGCGATAGATACCCGAGTGGCCTCCAACTTTAGAGTCATGGAAGTGCTACATGATCTGCTCACGTAACTGCCCACTGTCGGGAACGAATACTCGGCCTCAGTGTAGAACCAGACCATTATGCAATTTGTAGTCGATAACAGACGTCTTTCCTGCTTCTATCGATTGGCGCAGCTCTTGACAATAGGTGTCCTCTACTTGCGCCTTCCTGATTTCTTCCCAAATAGTCCAAGCTGGCCCAGTGATAGCATTCAGCTCGGCTACATCTGTTCGTCGGGATAATGCGTCCGCTACTACATTCTGTCGACGGGGTCGATAAATTATCTCAAAGTCAAACCCCATAAGCTTAGATACGAACTTCTGCTGCTCGGGGGTAACAATCCTTTGCTCCAATAGATGCTTAAGTGGTTGCTGGTCAGTAACAATCTGGAAACGTCGGCCTAATAGATAAGGCCTCCAGCACCTTACAGCCTCGACAACTGCTAGCATCTCCTTCACTTACACTGATAGACCCAATCGTGTAGTGCCTAGTGCCTTGCTGAGATAAGCTAAGGGTCGTCCCTCTTGCACTAGCACAGCTCCAATTTTAATGTCACTCGCATCGGTGTGTACCTCGAACAAGACATCAAACCTGGGCATGGCGAGTACTGGTGTTGTAGTCATGGCTTCTTTCAGTTTCCCAAACGCCTCCTCGCTAGCTTCGGTCCATGTGAACCTGCCTTTCTTAGTCATCTCTGTCAGTGGTTTGGCGATGGTTCCATATTCCTTCACGAACTTTCTGTAGTAGCCCGTGAGTCCTAGAAATCCCCTCAGCTGTGTGAGACTTGTCGGTTTTGGCCAATCGATCATAGACTCAATCTTTCGTGGATCAACCTTCACGCCCTCGTGCTATATGAAGTGCCCTAGATACTCAACCATCATCTGCCCGAATGAACATTTGGATGGCTTGATGTGGAATGAGTTGGCCTCCAAAATTTCGAGCACTACTCTCAAATGCCCAAGATGTTCGCCCCATGACTTCGAATAGATAAGGATATCATCAAAGAATACCAGAACGAACTTACGCAGATACTCCTTGAAGATAGAATTCATAGCGAACTGGAAAGTGGATGGGGCGCTGCATAATCCGAATGGCATGACTAGATACTCATAGTGCCCCTGGTGCGTACGAAATGCTGTCTTTGGAATGTCGGCTTGATGGAGTCGAATCTGATGGTAACCAGCTCTCAGGTCGAGCTTTGAGAAATAGCGCGACCCCGCTAACTCATCGAGCATGTCGTCGACGCTAGGGATAGAAAATTGGTCCTTGATAGTTGCAGCGTTCAGAGCTCGGTAGTCAGTACAGAACCTCCACGTGCCGTCTTTCTTTTTGGCTAACAAGACTGGAGAAGAAAACGGACTCTTGCTATGCTGAATTAGTCCTGATTCAAGCATCTCGACCACTTGCCGTTCGATCTTGGTTTTCTGAAAGTGAGCATACCTATAAGGATGAACGTGTATGGCATGCTGGTTATTGATCAGTGGTATGCGATGATCGAACTCCCGGTGTGGGGGTAGTCCCTTAGGCTCGCCCAGTACTCCCTCAAATTCCTTGAGAAGCTCGCGCACATCTCACTGATGTTGCTCCTTTTGGTCTATGTGTGTCTCAGTTTTCTCTACTACTACTGCAAATATTTGGCCTCCACCCCGCCAAACTTTCTCAATGCTCTTAAGCCCTACCTCCTTGGTACCTTTTTCATTGCCAGTACTCAGAGTGACTTGCTGACCTCCAGAGTTGAACTCCATAATTCCTGTCCGATAGTCGGTGGTCACCTTGCTTAACCCTTCAAGCCATTGTACATCTAGGACGACATCCGGCCCAACCAGCGATAAGGCATAGAGATCAGCATTCACTGTAACTCCGCTGAACCTGATTGGCACCTTCTGGAAGGATTTAGTGCATTGCAGCCTCTCACCATTGGCTACTCGTACCTCAAAAGGTTCAATATTCGTGGTTGGTAAGTTCAGCTTCTGGGACAAATCGGCATTGATGAAGTTGTGTGATGACCCGTTGTCTACTAGCACCACCACCTTCCGATCGTTGACCCAGGCCGGCAATCACATCGTTCGAGGCCCTCTAATCCTGGCCATTGTGTGCATCGATATTTCTGCTTCTTCGTCAGGCCCCTCAACTCCAATATCCTGATGTGGTTCCTCCTCGTCCTCAGATCCTTCCTCATCAGGATTAGCAACTTCGATCACAAAAGCTTGCTTACACTGATGACCTGGTCTAAATTTCTCCTCACACTTGAAACATAAGCCTTTCTCACGTCGACGTTTAACTTCCTCGGGAGACAGCCGCCTCACTATCGACCCTGCTGGCCGATTGTTGGCGTTCGGCCGTGCGCTGGCCGTGGCTTGGTTCGGCCTCGTGCGTCGCGTGTCCGCGAATCGCACATCCGCCCGTCCCCTTCGCGTAGCGACTAGATGGTCTTCTCGTCGACGGGCCACCTCCATGGCGTTATGCATCGTGCCCGGTCGCTCCAGTCGGACTTCTGCGGCTAGATCGAATCTCAGCCCACCTACGATGGCTCCTACTAG